CTAAAACAATATGTGGAAAGCATTTTTTTTCTTTCTTTAACTTCTTTTTTTTTCATAAAACTTTTCAATGTGGTAAGCCAGCATCTGATTTCTAGTGATGGTAGATACAACAAAGAGGAAAATACTCAGTCAAAAACACATAGCAGATACAACAAAAAGTAAAGTACTCAGTCTAAAACACACAACAGATACTGCAAAAAGGAAAGTACTCAGTCAAAATCTACATGTCAGATACAACAAAAAGTAAAGTACTCAGTCAAAAACACATCGTAGATACTACAAAAAGTAAAGTATTCAGTCAAAAACACAACAGATACTGCAAAAAGGAAAGTATTCAGTCAAAATCTACATGGCAGATACAACAAAAAGTAAAGTACTCAGTCAAAATCTACATGCCAGATACAACAAAAAGTAAAGTTCTCAGTCAAAAACACATGACTCTGGCTCATTATGACTGAGAACCTAATGGTTAAAGTCACAGTTCCTAATAATTTTATTGTTATGATCAGTGTAAAGCAATGACATGTGAGTAGAACAGTGGCCTCTTTAATTCAATATGCTGTATCAGATGATATTGACTGGTTCTCTAATAATCAAGACTTAAACCAGAAAAGAAAATTCATGTGCATTCTGTCAAGCTTCTTTGTAAATGAGAATCAAATGCTCTTGAGTGACTAAAGATATTTTTAATTTGATGAAAAAGAAAAGAATCTAATTATCCAAGTACAGAAGCTATAACATGTTGCATAAGTCATTCAACAGTTAATGCAGTCATGAAATACCTACCATATTATTTGGTATACAAGTCCAACTGCAAAACAACACAAACCCTATCTATAGCATAATGTACTGGCCAAAAAGGGCCTAATCTGTTTGTTCTACTGACTAATCTTAGCAAAATGTATAAACCCAGATCTGCTGGCACATTACAAGACAGCAGATCTGAGTCTGTGCAGTTTGTAGCTGAAACAGACTTAAAAAAACTATATTGCTAGGATAATTCAATATCAGTGATCACATATCAAGAAGAGGATCCTGGATACTAATGTCATGGAGAAAACAAGAAAATAAAAATTGTTCTAAATAATTTGTTATGGCTTCATAAATCAATGCATATGGACCACAATTTTTTTTTCTGGAATGAAACCTGAAACCATGTAAATTTGTGCCCAAAACATGCTAACCTTCTTAAAGATTTTCCTAAATTTGAAAAGAACATCAAAGTTATATTAAATCACAGGAATGTATGAAAATATGTCTAAATTTTAAAAAGCTTATGCTTTTTACGAAGCAAATGAAACAGCATACTGATTAATCAACTATAAAGTAGTGAAACATTTATCTTTCTGTTAGCATAGTACTTGGTATACACTGTATCTAATTTTGAAACACTAATAATGTGTAAAAGATGAATTCACTCTCCTGGACTCACAAGCAGAAAAAAAAATCAAATTACTGTCTCACCTACAATTTTGTCAACGGGCTTAGAATAAACAGGGCCAAAATAAATGCATAAATGCACTAAACAAATAACATGGTATTTTGGTTTTTTTTTGCATTTTTTATTTTTAAGGTACCTTTAACAATTTTGGTCATATTGCAGTGTGGCAGCTTATAGTGATGTTCAGCACAAGGGGCATCATGCCGCAGACATTATTTTGACATCAGGCATCCTAACACTAACCTCTTAATGCTGACTGCCAAAAAGGCAGCTGCTCGTACCATTTTTTTAAGAGTCTCTGGTACTACTTGGCTAAGGTTAAACCCATCAACCACCTGCATCCAAAGCAGATGCTCTAACCACTTAGCCCACCATAGCATGACTCTTTTGTATACAGCTATTAAACAATGATCCCAAAAAGCTGTGTGGCAAGTTACCTTTACTTTGAATCCTTATATTCGTCATCCACAAGAATGTTCCATATGCACTAATAGACCTCTTTCTGTTTTATGCCTATTCACAGACATATCATATCACTTTTTTTTCAGATAAAAATGTAACTGACCAACCACTGTCACCTTGATGTTATACCCATGACCTCATTTTAAACAGTTTTCTTACTTTATTTGTAGAAATACTCATCTAAGCATCTATCATTTAAACAAATGTTCACATGTCTCTGACCGTGACCTCATTTGGCTCAAGTCTCAGGGATGATCTATCCTTCCTCAGATCACTGACTGATATACACAAAGCCAAATGACAGTGCATTTCCAAAATGAGCTGGGTTAGTATAATGTTTTCTGAAATTTAAAAGGATTTTATATTAAATATACTTTTTATTGATGGCAGCCACACTGTTTGGCAGCCCAGCTTCATATGACACCAAACAGTGAAATTTGGTCAGATCTGTTAATGGCTTTTTGAGTCAAGTAACAGTCTCTATACTTTTCACTTTTGATAATACCAGGACATTTTCTGTCCAATTTTATTCACATTCTGTTCAATAGTTTTGAGAAGTCATTTGCTTTATTCAGTAAACAACTGCCCTGATACATGTAGATGGCCAACCCATGTCATTTGAATAAACCTGAAAGGCCTTTATACCTTCATCATGTGTAGTTTTATGGAGTGTTTCCTACGGCAAACTGGAAGATGACTTTGTGCTATCCCAACTGTGCTGACCCAAGGACTAAATGCCATAGCTAGAGCACACTAAAAAAAAAAGTCAAAGGATAAGAAGCAAGATTCACAAGCATAAGAAAGGAGTCATTCAAGCAGGGTTAAGATACAGCAATTCGACTAGCCTCATGCACTTTACTTCTTGTGAAAGATCCCTCTCTGTGAGGGTCTGGCAACGTGTCATGGCAAGGATGATAATCCACCTGGATGAAGGCGACAAGTTAGACCCTCCCTTATCCTTTACAGGAAGCCAAAGAAAAACCTCAAGGTCTTAACTTGGCAAATGATTATCCAAAGCACAGACATGACCGAGAATGGGAATTGAACAAGTAGAGGACCTACTGACAGTAGCTGATTTTTAGCCAGGAACATGGGTTCACAAAGAAGAGAAACTGAATCAGTCATCACTAAACTGTAAACAACCCTTTTCCACAGACAAGCCATGTATTTCATTTTTCTTGCTAACAATAAAGACAGCAGGGAAAGTCTTAATGGTAAGGTTCTCAAACAAAGCTTCACCACAAGGTTATTAATGAGGTTGATTATGAGTTTCATAATGAGGTTCATAATGAGGTTTAGAATTTACCAGAGTGCACATAAAAGGTTCCATCCACAGTTTTCAGGTAATAACTAGTTAGAAACTGGTTTGTGAAGCTCAAAATACTTGATGAGATCTAAAAGGTGAGTAGCTGCATTACTGTTGGAACCCATAAATTCTTGTACTCAGTAGTAGAGGAAGAGGCTGCCCTATGTCCCTCAACAGTAGAAAAGGAAGAATTAAAGTCTGCGACTGCAGTTAAAGGGGGACAGACAGTAGTCAAGATGTTACCTACTATACCTATTACAAAAAATCTTTTACTCTGCATCATAAACTTGAAAACAGAATACCTCTAAAGAGAAAGCAATGCAGTAAGCAACCTTGTTTGAAATCTGCTCTCGGTAAACTGACCACTCAAGATGAACCAAAAGTGAAAGTGGAGAATCTGTAAAATTTGGTTCTAGAACAGATCTCATTTTCTCCTACAGTAGGTCTCTCTTTGATGGTAACATACTGGACTTCTCTACCAACAAGTCAAGTAGAAAGGTCAAAATGATACAGAAACAATGCAGATTTTTGTTGCCTGCCACCCTCATAAATCCACCATGCTATTAAAGGATGTGCAGCTCTTTCTTCAGATGTATCAGTTGGGACTGGTAAAACAAGATGGAAATCTGCAATGAGGAAGAAAATTTACAGAAATGCATTCAGTAACTGTCCTTCAAGATGGAAAGACTTGCTCATCATCAATCATGTTTAACTAAGCCTCTGAAAAGAGGTCCAGTCAGACACCTTCTAGCACATTGTAAAGAGGATGTCAATGCAGGAGAAGGTGTGACTCCACTGCCTCCCTCCTTGATGGCAGGAGGAAGTTTAAACTGCAGCTGTTTGCACAACTTTTGAATTTGATCCCGCTGGAAAATCCTAGATGTATGCCTCATCAGTCAGTCAGGTTGTGTACACTTATTTGCAGGTTTCAACAAGCCAAGAGTCACAGCCAGGGATCAGTATTCCTGATCCCTCAAATTTTGTAATGCTACTGAATAATGAAACCTCAGAAAGCACTTCCAAGTGAAGTGGTGCAATCTTCAACATGCAGGTTTATGCTGTGGTCAAGCAAGACCCTGATTCTCTAATAGCATTTCCGATGACGTGTCACATGACCACATGGAGTCCTTGGATACTGAGCATGGACTGAATTTGGGATGGCCTTTATTTAACATTAGCCAAGTAAAAGGGCTATCTAATTTTGGAAGAAACTACATTGCTGTCCACCAATCAAGCCTGCTTTCAAATTAGGTTGTTGGAGCCTACTTGATGATGACAGATTCTGCCTGAAATGTATGTTTGAAAGGAAATTTTTATTTATTACTTGGGGAACAAATTATGTTTATGGCTGTCAATTTTTGGAAGATTTAAGCTAAAAATCTGAAACTGAGTCAAGTTGTTTCAGATCTGGTGGTTACATGCAGCAGGCATTGTGTTACAATGGAATGGTTTCAGAGATTTTCATTTAAATGGAAATGCGCAAAATTTCTAAAAGAACAGAACTTTTAAGTAGTTATTTACATGAACACATTCTATCAAACTGTTGGTGCATGTGTGTGATTTGTATTTTTGACATAGCTTTAGAAATTTTTCAGTCAAATCGCTATGATTTCTATAATGTGGCATTTTATAGTGATGCCTAACATTGGGGCATCATGTCAGAGACAAGTAGCATGATGTCCCACCCAGTCAAAATTATCTGGACACCAGGCAGACTAGTCCTAACACTAACCTCTTAATGTTGAGCACTAAGTGAGGCAGTTGCTAGTTCCATATTATAAGCCTTGATACTACTCTACCAAGGTTTGAACCCATGACCTCCTGCATCAGAGGCAGATGCTCTAACCACTAAGGCTATATGAGTGGTCTATCAAACTCTTGGATTATATTTATATAAAGACAATTACTTTCACAAGGAGGGGAAGGAACATCTTTTTGAAACCCTAAATTTATTGAATTTATCTGGAATTGGCTATTTATTCTCACTGAGAGTTAGCAATTTACATTTTATTTATAGAAGTGAAGTACAGTTTGTTTATACATGAAATGACTGCTTCATCTACATGTGTGACATTTTATAACTCATACAAAAATGTTATGAACATTTCAAGAATTGTCCAGGAATTTTTTTTGAAACACTTTGAACCTTTGATAAAATGCATCTGAACATTACATGAACATTTAAATGGCTCATAACTGTTCTGGTGGACTAAGTGGTTTAAGCATCTGCTTCAGATGTGGAAAGTCACAGGTTTGAACTCTAGTCAAATGATACCAAAAACTTACAAAAATGGTACTAATAGCTGCCTCACTGGGTGCTCAGCATTAAGAGGTTAGTATTAGGACTGGTTGGCCTGGTGTCAGTCAGGATAATGTGACTTGGTGGGACATGATGCTACACATCTGCGATATGATGCCCCAGTGCTAGATATCACTATAAGCTACCATACTGCAGACATTGTAACAATATGAATTAAATTGTCAAAGCCAAGTTAAAAACTAAAACACACACACATGGCTCATTGTTCAAGAACTTAAAACTCATGACATGTTCTAGAATATTTGTAACTGAACAGTTTATGATCAGGTTGCTAATGGATTGATGACAGATGGATGACAAACAATAGACCATCCCATAAGCTCTTCTGGTCTATAATTTGAAAAGCTGTAACTAGATCAGATTATGTCTTCATTTCATCAGAAATTCATTCACTTGTTAATTCTTCTCATATAGGTATCAGGTACAAATCCAACCAGTCATTCATTTTGAGAGGATTCAATTTCTCACATCATGAAACATGTAGAGGCAGTAATATTGTTAGCTTGATGATAAAGTGACATTAGCAAAATCTGTGATATTATTTATATTGGAAATATATTCAACTGAAAAGTATTTGTCAGGTGATGAATGCCATTGTCACAAAAACTGGAAAGTTATGCTTAGATGTACCGGTACATAATAATAAAATATTCCTTGAAAAAGAACCTACACAAAATTTTGGCAGAACCAATTAATGAAACAAAATGAGGGATCTTTTAACTCAAGAACCTTCAGAAACTATCAAGTTTTAAACTGATTCCTTAAAACATCTTTAAAGCATTCAAAATAAAATGAACTAGAGAATTTCAAAGCTAGAAGATGGGAAAAGAGTGAGAATAAAGTAACTATTTACAATATCGAAAAAAGAAAATATTCATAAAATCTAATTTAAAATTAGGTATAGACAATGGCTCTATTAAAATAAATCATAACTGAATACTTTTAGCACAACAAAATTATAAATTACTCTGTACACCGTATAATTGCTAAAAATATCAACTCAATTTTATTCGAGCATGCTTTTATGAAAATTGCTAATCTCTTCACAACTAAATTATAAGCTTCAAAAATTGAATCCTATAGAGAAATCTTGAGAATAGTTATCTCAACTTTAAAGCAATTATCTTGTATTATATGAATAATTATTTCAACTATAAAGTTAGTAATTATTTCCTAGTATGTGAATAATTATCTCAACTTTAAAAGCAATTATATTGTAGTATGCGAACAATTATCTCAACTTTAAAAGCAATTATTTTGTAGCATGTGAATAATTATCTCAACTTTAAAAGCAATTATTTTGTAGTATGTGAATAATTATCTCAACTTTAAAAGCAATTATCTTGTAGTATGTGAATAATTATCTCATTTTTAAAAGCAATTTTCTTGTAGTATGTGAATAATTATCTCAACTTTAAAAGCAATTATCTTGTAGTATGTGAATAATTTTCTCAACTTTTAAAGCAATTAGTATGTAAATATTGTATTGTAGTATGTAAATAAGTATTATAACTTCAAAGTAATTATCTTGTAGTATGTGAATAATTATCTCAACTTTAGAAGTAATTATCTTGTAATATACTATTAAATGATATATTTATCTAGAGATTAATCTGACTTTATGTGCATGAAATACAAAAGATGCATACATTTGAAACACATAATACAAACTCAGGATATGTGCTACTAACCTGACCACTTTACACTGATATCCATCCACTGTCAAACAATATTTCTTAGGCAGTGGTTTCTTACTCTTAGCATTGCAAAAAGCAAACATTTGGGCATTTAGCCATGATTTAAACTAAATATGAAAGAGCTGTACTTAAACATTTCTCTAAAAATAAATGAACATTACCAAACAAAAACTCAAAATACTTAATTTTGTGTATTTGCCAAAAATATTTACAGTTGGTAAAGCAGTCAAATTTTTTGGAAACATCCTAATGACTGATGAACCAGATAACTGATCAAAGGGAAATTGTACTAAATGTGAACCTGAACTGCTTTGTTTTAGGTTAGTACATGCCAACCTCCAAGAGTTAGTATACACATAATTTGTTACTAATACAAGTGGCAAAAAGCATAATTTGAGCATAAAAAGAGCAACCTATATATTACATGCTACAATTACTGAAAATTGTATGAAAAACACACAATTATTTTTGCTGCTTTTATCTGCAGTTAATCCAGGTAATATGTTTTTAAAATAACTACCCAGTTGTCCATTTTATTACCTGAATTATTATCAACAGGTGGGTACCTGTTGACAGCTTTAATGGTCAGTTTCTCTGTCTTTTGTCCCCCATCCATCAATGGTCAGCTAATTGCCTTAAAAGGCTCAGATAACATCAGGACCACCTTCTATTCCTTTATTACTTATCACACCTCAAAAGGTTCCCTGTTTTCCATCAATGGCTAGTTGTGTGAACACATCAATTGTTCTTCAAAAATGGATCTGCCATGCATCATCCTGATCATAATCATTGTACTGGTTGAACATTTCCAATCCCTAGTAGACTTTCTCTGGCTGGTTTTCTGTAATGTGTTGATAAAAGACAAAAAAAAATACAGTGTTTGTTTTTAACTGAATTTTCTTTTACATTACTGTAATATTCAAAAGCAGTAGATAGCAACTATGAAACAATATTGCAGTAGATGGCCGACTGCTGATAGATTCAAATGTATGAGCTCAGAACAAGTCTTTCAAATTTGTAGAAATGACACTGATCTGCCATCCCATATGGCTAATTTAACTTTAAAAAGAAAAACTATTAAATAACTATTCTCAAAAAGTACAAAACAAAATTAAATTTGACAGAAAACATTCTTGTAGTAAGGTCTTTATAACTTGTAGAAATGATGTAGATCTGAAGCCAATATGACTTCAGTTACTAAAAATAGAATTGAAATAACTTCCTTTGCAAACCAATCAACAGAATTGTACCACATTTTTCACTTTATGCATGGTGGTGTGATGATCTTTCAATTTCTAGCAGAAAAAACTGTACATTTAAATGTCATTAATATGTATTCTAAAAAATATGCCTGACCATATTTATTACTGTTTACTGTCTTTACTGATTCACTGTCTGCTTTAAACAAGCAACTTTTGTCAATACATGAATTTGACATGGACTGAAAGGAACACTGACTGTAAAAAACACCTCTTCAGTGAAGGAACAATAATCCATCACTTGGTTCTACATGAATGTAACTGAAAATTTTTGGGGAATTTTGAGAAGATACCAAGAAACAAAATAATTAGCCAAGATATTGAATAACTTCATTTTTTAAATAAGAAATTGATGGAGATTTACAGCTTCATAATAGCTCATTCTGAGATGATTACATATACAGGTTGTGGCAGAAGATGTCCATGCATTTCAACCAAGTGATTAGACTGATATTTGGAAGGAGAATATTCTTCCTTGGAGAACACTATTCCAGAATTTATATAACAGTATGTGCAATGGGACAGGTAAGTGTTTTATTTAATTGGCCTACAAGTTACATAATACTTAAGCATCTTGTTCTCTGAGATACACTCACATAAGAAAGTCCTGAATTGTCTATAAAATTTTTGAAACTATATAACTTTCTTCTTCCCTAATCAGGCAAAAAGTAAAGAAAAACTTATGAAGACAAGAAATTACTACTTGCATAACAAAACATATTGGGAAATCAATTCTTTTAAAATAAATGGTGGCCAATTTCCTAATATACAGTATAAAATTGCATCATTTGCTATTTTTAATCTCATCTCGAGCAACCTAATTAAAATAATTGGTTAATTTTACAAAGACTTGTATACAAGATCTCATGGGGACAACATTTGAGGTCTTCTCTTATTAATTTTGAACAATGGTTTGATTCTTTAGAAAGGACATTAATATACAAAACAATGAAATTCTTCAGCTTTGGTAACTTCTTTATGCATCTAGGTAAAACTCTTTGCACTGATATTCAAAGTTATATAATTATTAACATGTATATCTAACCTTTAATTCCTACTTCAAATTATAGGCAAGGGGATCTCACTCTCCAAAATATTGATGTATTGAATTGTTTACATAAGCTTTAAATATCATCAAAACATAGCTACAATAAAATTCAATAACTCTGAGTTTTAAAAGCCTAATATGCTGACAATTGATACCACTTTCAAGACGTTGACTACCCATCACACCAAAAAGATATTTATAATGAAATAAAAATAGCAAATTAAAGTTATATTGATATTGTCAATGCAATTTTAAATTGAACTGCATTAAATCTTGAAATTAAAATGGATAGTAAATAAAACTAAACTTTGTACCATCTTTCATACATAGGTAAAATTACCATCACTAAAATTCTTGGCACTTTCAGTCCTTATCTATTATTTTAATGTTTCCCATAACACTGTATTCAAGAAATTGAAAGAATGTTTTTGCGGTTTAATAAATTCTCTTAGGACCAGCAGCAGAAAGAAGGAAAAGATCCATATTTATAAATCCAATCAGTATGTCACATTTAATATCCTTTGAGAAGGTTTTAAAAAT